ATCGGGAACAGCTTTAATACCTGATGATTTCGAGCTGGCATCGGAAAATGCATCACCGGATGGTCTCCTGCTGACGTCGGTAACGGCTTGTTCACCGGATGGTTTCCAGGGGACATCAGAAACGGCTTGTTTACCTGATGAATTCCAAGGGTCATCGGGAACTGCTTGAACACCGGACGAGTTCCAGAGGACATCATGAAGGTCGTGACCACCAGACAGGCTCCTGTGGACATTTGGAACGGCTTGACCACCAGACGGGTCCCGGTGGATATCAGGATAGGCTTGATTACCGCTTTGGTTCCGGCGGCCATCAGGAACGGCTTGGCCACCGGACGGGTTGATCGCGGGTTGGATTCCAGCGGAGATCAGGAACGGCTTGGCCACTGAATTGGTTTCGGTGGACATCGAGAACGGTTTGACCACTGGATTGGTTCCGGTGGACATCAGGAAGGGCTTGACCACCAGACGGATTCCGGTAGACATCACAAAGAGCTTGACCACCGGCTGGATTGCAGCGGACATCTGGAATGGCTTGACCACCGAATTAGTTTCGGCGGATATCGAGAATGGCTTGACCACCGAATTGGTTTCGGCGGATATTGAGAATGGCTTGACCACCGGACGGATTCCGGTGGACATCACGAAGAGCTTGACCACCGGCTGGATTGCGGCGGACATCGAGAATGGCTTGACCACCGAATTGGTTTCAGCGGACATTGAGAATGGCTTCACCATCGGGCAGATTCCAGTAGACATCGGGAACGGTTGGACCACCGGATAGGTTCTGGCGGCCCTCAGAAATGGCTTGATTACTGGAAGGATTCCAGCAGACATCGGGTAAGGCATCAACACCAGATGGTATCCGACGAGGATACAATTCAAGACCGGTCTGAAAGTCATCTTGGAATAGCTTCGGATTGACTTCGGTTGTTTCGGGAGGTTTAAACGGTTTCGGTTTTTCATCCATGATTTGAGGTGAGTCCTTATTGACATGGTACTCGGTTGGTTCACTTGCCATGTTATTAGGCTTGATTTCTACAAACTTGGCTGAATTCTCGACGTAACGGTCCTCTGTCAATCCACGAGGAAGATAATTTGGCTTGCACGCAGAGTTGAGCTTAACATCGTCAGCTTCGGTTGGAACCTCATCTTCAATCGTACTTGTCAGCTTGGTTTCAGTATCGGCAGGATTACCGTACTCGGCCGCACTGGCAGGTGGAGGTGAATCATCGACTAGTCGGACCTCGGTCGGTCCACAATGGGAGTTCAACGGCATAATCATGGGTTTCGCCTTCAAGAGTTCGGTTGGATTATCCACTTCAGTTAGCTTCTTGATCGACTTCGTTTCGGTGGATTGATTCACAATCGTCTTCACATCGACGGTTTGGATCGGGTACGACATACGCTGCGGTGGCAACTTTATCGTCGATAACATACATGGCAGTTCCATCACGTGTGGATTCGGAACGGGCTGTTCCGTCATTCGAATCATTGGTTGATTTTGGACGATCCGAGCGTATGGTTTGCTTGTGGCCGGTGATGGTGTTCGGTGTTGGTGGTGTCTGATATCGGTATTGGAAAGGCATGCAGCAATGTTTCCACCAGTATACAGGCCTCGGTATAGAGATCATCGAAACGCAGGTACGTCCTCATTCCGCTCATCAAATTTATCTGCAGAGATGGCGGTCATAAATCTGTTGTGCAACCATTGATACTCCTGGTATTTGTGCTAGAGGTTCCTGGCGTGTATGTTGCACAACACCGGATGCATGGTGATATCGGTTTCTTGCACTTCTTTCAGGATTCGCGTTACCTTCGCCTCTACTAAGCCACGAAGTACGATCAACCTTTCCACATCGGTCATCTTTGGAACGCGTAGTAAACTTTCACACGCATGCGATTCACTTTTCGGAATATTGTTTTTCGCGACCGCTCTCACTCATACGATTCACTTTTTTGTATACTTCGCACACGATTGTCATCGGCAGCAGCGGGAGTAGTTGTTTTTGTTTGGCACTTGGCTAGCGTAGCACGTCCGTTTCTTTTGGTGGGAAATCGGCTTCGTTCCAATTTGTAGGAACATCTATGTGTAAAACTTTCACGACGAAAGCTGGCTCGTGATCCGGTTCGGATGGACTAAATTATGTTCGGACTGCAAGGGAACTTTCCCTTTTGATAGTGGACTGTATCGGCAGAGTGGTTGAGGAATCAAGCGTCGATCGGAAATCAACTCGTAAGGGCTCTGAAAAGAGCTGGGGGTTCTACGCTGCTCCAAACCAGGGATGTGTGCAGCAATAAACTTGATCGGAACGGCTACGCTAACAACTGTTTATTCTCTCCTCTTTCTCTCTACAAATTCTGCTTCTACTTTTGCACGGTGATGCATGCCTCTTTTAAAGCGGCGAGCGATGATGTGGTCATCGCTGATTGGTGGATGTTGTAGCCTATTGATGCATTTACCTACCTCGATTTTTTAAACAAATAATCAACTAATTTCATTTTAGATTTAGATCGCGAATTGGTGATTAGAACAAAAAAATGGGAAAAATGTTCTAAGTCTCGGACTTATACGGAAATAGCATAAGGTATTTATCGGCAACCACTGCACCGAATTGGACGCACCAATCTCCAAATGAAATGTATTGTGATCCTTTTGAACAAATTACACTTGTGGAATCAATCAACCTGTTGCGGAGATATGGCCAGAACATGTTCCACTGAATACGGGCCTTAATACTAGAAGCGACCTGAAACGTGTCATTCAAAACAAGATCAATGGTAGTCAAACTGAGGATCTAGGACAAGTTCCGGATACTCACGGGCCAGTTTCTAAATAGGGCCAAAAACCATCATACGACATCATGCGAGAAAAACTTCGCAATACACCCAATCCATTTTTTACGCGGGTACATTTTTCCAAATTTTCTGTTTTAAGTTCGAAAATTACTGATTGTTTGACTTCAAACTTGATTTTATTTGAACATCGGAAAATGGAAACCAATCGTAAAAAGGTTGGGTGTAAAATGCATTTGAATGTTATATTAGTCTGAAAGGTCAGATCTCACCATACCCATTACCTTATTGAAGTAGTTCCCTTTTCTTATTGTTATTATTGACCATTTCACATTTTTTATGTACGGTTGATAATTCAATTATTTTTTTTTCATTTTTCGTCGAATCGATAGACAAGCCGTTTTAGCCAAGACAAGACTTCTCCTTTCAAATTTATTCACGAAAGCTTATAAAAATAACCAATAGAATGTTCCTTTCTTTTGTAGTCGCTTTTGGGTCATTCGTGAAATGTTCGAGATAAGATGTGAAATCGTGACTTTGGTGTGAGATGTATGCGAGGACAAAAACCGGTACCGTGACAAAAACGGTAATAAAAAGTAACCTTTCCAATGATATAGAAACATTTAAAACGGATCAATAGAATTCTTGATAAATCATTTTGAAAAAAGTGTCGACTTTATGTTCAGTAAGGTTCCGGGTTTCTGCATACAAAATAATCCTCTGTAACTTTTATTTAAATACATTTACTGCACTTAGAGAAAATTTTCTCAGCTATAACCAGGGTTGCTTCCACCTGCTATAAAAAAAATTGATTTTCTGAATTTTGAAATCATTAGATGTTGTAATGATATTTTCACGCCAAGAAATGATTTTTAAATTCAAATGGATTTATTTTTGGCTCATGGCCTTATATATTTTTGGCATTGATTCAAATATATTATTCGGTTGATTCAAAGAAAAATATTTTTGAATCAACAAGCCACAAGGTTGTAGAGTCAATAATATGTGTGTTGATTCTAAAAGCCATTTTGTTAATTCCAAAATATGCTTTGTTGAAATAGTGATACAATATGTTTGAATCAATAACAAAATACATTAGGCCCTGAAACAAAACTCAATTTTTCTGCGTGTTGTACTTGTTAGATACAAGAAGGGGTTTAAAGGCCAGTGTTTGACAAATAAAACCTGTCAATTTCGATTCCAGAGTGTTACAATCAGCGATTTTATGATTTGTTGGTTTTTACGCAGAGTGAGCGCTTGCGAGTCGTAAAATCGTGGATTGTGACTGTCTGAAGGCAAATTTTACAGGTTTTATGTGTCAAGCACTTGCCTTTCAACCTCTTCTTGTATCTAACAAGTACGAAAGATCATTATAACATCAAATTATTTCAAAATTCAGAAAATCACTTTTTATAGCAAGTGAGTGGAAGCAAACCTGGCTATAACTTTGCTGAAGACCGCTTTTCAATTGAACGTCAGGATAATTATTTAGGAAAATGACCACCTTCTGACATGCTCCATGAATTGCTTAGCAGGAACCATTGTTGAAAGAATAGGTCAAAACATGCAGGCAACTATGTTATACCACAGATGCAGTGTTGCCCTGAAAGCATCGATTGATCATATCAGAAAGTTGGGTTTCAAAATCAATTAATAACTATCCTAACTATTAATCCTGACGTTCAATTAAAAAAATTACGTGTAAAGGTAGTTCGGTGAAAGATAGAACGATCGAACGATTCGACAATTTTAGAATACTTCAGTAAACATTTTTGTAGCCGAGTTATTAACGAAAGAAAGTGAAAAGTTGTGCAAAAAGTTCACTAAATCGGAGACAGCCAAAATTACTTCAGGGGAGTAATTTTGTTTCTGCTACGGGAGAATAACGTCAATGTGAGTTCATCAAGCAAACATATAATGGAAACAAATTTGAACATGTAACAAGAAATTCAGAAGCAGTTATCTATAATTTGCAGCCTAATTAATACCTAAAGCCTAAATTTAATACTAAATATTTGTAGCTATGTACCTTTCTTTTTCCTTATTTTGTATGAATATATTATTTTTTTTTTTGCTTTATTAGAGAGATTTTCAGCCTTGGGCTAGTTCATCTCTTAAAACGAGATATTATATTATAATGTGGATTAATGCATAAACCTATAATGTAGTTTCCTATCTTAAATGAGTGATTAACCCCATAGTTGCCGTTACCTTTCAACACATACCTGATAGCATCTCTCACAGTAACGATACATGGGATTGTTTTGCTTATTGTTACACTTGACACACTTCCAGTAGTCTGCCGGAGCGAAATCACTATCGTATGACTGATCGTCCGACTCTTCCGTGTCAGCAAGTATAGCAAATTCAGTAGCAGAAGAATTGTCTGCCACAGCCTGTGCAAATGCTGCTAAAACGTAATCCTAAAAACAAATATTCTCATATTCTTGCACCTTGAATAAAATCAAATAAATTTACATCGGTTCCACTAGACGATACATTCGAAAAATCATTTTCCGATTCGGTTGCGCTTGCTACTTCATATTCCAAAACTTCCATGGTGGCAATCGTATTCACGGGTTCATTATTCAGTGAATGCTGCGATATACTTGAGCATTGCGAGTTAGTATCACTATCTGATAAATCGCTGGAATCATGGCAGATATCTGAAAGAAGATGAATAAAATCAATGAATATTTAGTAGATTAATATGTTTTCACAGTTGTCCCACAACTGTCTACAGCAGCAGTCGATTTTTGACGTAGAACTACGTCTTTGTCGACTATACTGGGGTGCAAATCAAAAAATATGTGTGGTGAAGTAGTGTTAGGTTTTGAACGCTTGTAACTTTGTCATTTATAGATGAAATTAAAATCCAAATACGCCAATCGACAGGATATTACATTACAAACCTGTTGAAATAAATATTTTTCCAATTTTTCTGTAATTAAACTTTTGAAAATGTACAAATGAAAATTTTATTACTGATTTCATGAAATAAGCCTTTTTCCCAAACCCAGTCATCATAAACGAATACCACTTGGTTGCACATCATTCTGCTTGAACCTGAAAAGATATAAATCAGCGCTGCTCTCATGCCACTGCTCATTAACGCTTCGGACGGCATGGCACTAGGTCCTGCATCAAGCAGGACTAGGTTAGCGGCTAAAGGTGGATCACAGCGTATCCACCACAATGAGGAATGAGACTTGAAAAAACGTGCATGTAAAACCCCCTCCCCCTCCCCCTTAACAATAACCCGAAAAAGACATGGACTTTGACGATCATTTTTTTTTCTGGAAATAAATTTTAAGCAAACTCCAATAATGTATGAACAATTAATTTTTTACATGCAGAGCTAACATTTTCAAAAAAAAATATTGCTTAATAGGAGACATACACTCGATGAATCACCAACAACTGACTGTAAAACTTATCTGGTACCTCTATATATTCAATTATATTAACATCCAAAGTCCATCCTTTTTTACATATTCTGCACAAAAGAAACTTTCTGCTCCGCCCCATTCATAAAAAACTGCGGGAAATCCTATCAGGTTCTGAACTTGAAAAGATATAAAACAGCGCTGCTGTCATGCTTTTGCTTATTGTCGCTTCGGACGGCGTGGCACTTGGTCCTGCAGTAAGCAGGATCAAATCAGCAGCTAAAGGTGGATCGCGGCGTGACCACAATGAGGAAAAGTAAAATATGTAAACCCCCTCCACCCCTCACATTAACCCCTGCCCTTCACAACAATCTCTCCCTCCTCCCTCAACAACCTCTCCTACCCCCCCCCCCCCCATTCATCAATAACCTTTCCTACCCCCCCCCCATTCATCAATAACCTTTCCTACCCCCCCCCCCATCAACAACCTCTCCAAATTCCCCCCCCCCTCCCAATCAACAACCTCTCTTACCCCCCCCCCCCAATATATTTTAAGCAAATCACAATCATTAGTAAAAACAGAAGTTTTTCCCTTAATTTCTTCCCACACCAAAACTTTTAAACTTTAACAAAAATTGCTTGAAAGACATATTCAATGATATTAAGTTGGTGAATTACACACAACTGACGGTAAAACATATCTGGTACCTGGAAAGTATGTTTTGTGCAGAATATGTAAAAAAGGAGGGACGTCGGATGTTAACCTAAATGCATATATCCTGCATCATAGATAGAGATAGATACACTGGAGTCGCTTTTTACGCGGGTGATATGTCCCGCGTAAAAAAAACCGCGTAAAAAAAAACCGCGTAAATTCCGGAATCCGCGTAAAAAAAAACCGCGTAAATTCCGAAATCCGCGTAAAAAAAACCGAGTAAAAAAAGACCGTGTAAGAAAAAAACGCATAAAAAGCGATATACCGCGTAAATTCTGAAATCCGCGTAAAAAAAAACCAAAATCCGCGTAAAAAAAACCGCGTAAATTCCGGAATCCGCGTAAAAAAAAACCGCGTAAATTCCGAAATCCGCGTAAAAAAAAACCGTGTAAAAAAAAACCGCGTAAAAAGCGACTCCAGTGTAGATAGGTTCTACAGGGTGCGTGACGAATTTTTGCAGTAAATTTCAAATAGTAATTTCTCATGCTTGCGGATCATGATTTAGATATATTTGGCAGCACTGAATTGCTCATACTGTTAGGTGTAAGATGTAAGCAAACAGTGTTGAGTAAACGTAAAGATGTCGAAACAAAAGAGCAATCGGTCAGCCGCTGTCGCTTTGTTGCGCGCCGGAGTAAGCGAATAGAAATAATTCGGTGGATAAATGTGTCTGAAAGAACATTATAAAAAAAGGCCTGGGAAAGTGATAAAATTGAGAACCTGCTCATACTGCTAATGAAACACAGAAATGGCTTGCGGAAAATATTTCGGAATTTTGGGAGAAAGAAATTTGGCCCCCAAGCAGTCCCGATATCAATCCGTTGGATTATTTTGTACGGGGCATCGTCGAACGGAATACCAATAGAACCCCTAACACCACACTTAAGTCCCTAAAAGCTAAAATCAAGGTAGTGATGACATCTATGGATTAAAACATTGTCAAACGTGCATATGGCAGTTTCCGGAAGCGTCTAGCTACAGTCGTCGAAAGGGAAGGTGATTTTTTTCAATAAAATTAGTTACAACTTCCATATTTTGCGAAAGAAAATAAATCACATAACATTCATTGCTAGAATAGCTAACTGGAGTAATTTTTCTCAAATATGTCATTTACTGCAAAAATTCGTCACGCACCCTGTACGTCATACTGCGGTTGTGTCTAGGACACAACCCTTTAATTTTTTTTATGTCGGTGTGAACCACGCGATAGCCTGTTTTCGAGACTCGCTATTATATACCTAGTTGCTATTTGTTCGTTGCTAGCAGCTCGGTGCCTTTTGTTGCTACGGTGCAAGATGTGTGAAATAAAAAAAACACCATCAAGTTTAGTTTCAGCCACCATGATGCTAAACCAAACATCGGAGAGATTGTAAATTTCGCCAAAGCACTCGACGCTGATCCGGCTGAAATGGTTATCGCATTGGTGAGGAAAAGGGAGTCTTCATGTAGTTCAAATCAGAGGAAACGATGCTCCATGCTCTGACATACAATTCGGAGGATTTAATCTTCCATTATGCGAATGGAACGACGACAAAGGTAAGCATGTCGCATGCTGGTGAATTCATCCAATATGTGCGTGCGTATGACTTGCCACCAGAGGTACCCTACAACGAGCTGGATAAAGTGCTGGGGAAATATGGAAAAATAAACACATCATCCGGGAGAAATTTCCAACGGATCTGTGCTTTGAGGTATATACAGGGATATGCGGTATATATATGGATGTGAAAAAGAAAATCCCCACGTCTTTACATTTCTTCAATCGCAAAGGAAATATATTTTATGATGGCAACAAAGATAAATGTTTTCCGTGCAAGGCGGACGGACACCGGAAGCTTTCCTGCCCTAAGCGGAAGACTCGGAAGGAACTGGAGAAGCAACCTAAGGAAATAGGAAAGCAGCAAAGTGAAAGAAAACAAAACAGTAGCAGTACGTATGCTGGTGTAGTGGTGGAAGGTGCGTCGTTAGTCATTAGCTACGAGGAAACGGACAAGGGGTTGGAGATGTTGAATGTAAAATAACGAAATGGACGTGACGACCCCGACGACCGACGAGAGTAGCGGAGAGCATGCAACGGGAAACGACGTTCAGAAGCAGCAGCAGCGATCAAAAACAAATTCTGGAAAGAAAAAAGTTGCGTGCACGGGAGAAGATCGCTTTGTCGCCGCTTCGATCGCCACCCAAGAAAATCCTATTATAAAATGCATTTTTATATTTTTTTTTAGTATTTTGAGATCCAAAATTGGTATTCTATGTTACTCGGCTCCGCTAAGTTATTTTTATAACATTTGAGCCTGCCAAATAAACGAAATGAAAAAAATAATTGGTGGGGTTGTGTACAAGACACGACCGCAGGGTTGACGTAGACTACGTTAAGCTGTGTAGTGAAATTCTCATGCATTTTTTCTAGATAGGGTTAACTACCCCATTTCCGGCCTATTAAGCATAACCCGCACTTAGTCTTTCTTAATCTAGTTCAGTTTAGCACCAAACGGATTGTTATTATTACTGATGGCTTCCAAATTTATTTACCTTTCCGTACGTACCGTAAGATTTGAAAACGAGAAACCAATCGTTGAGATATTGTCAAAAGTCCAACACTGCTTCTTGACGCCAAACTCGGCCTACGGATTTTAAACTTGGCCTAACGCATTGAAACGCAATTGAAACACCATTGAATTTACTTCGGCCTATCGGATGAAGATAAAAAATGATTCGGTCGGAGCGCTTCTTTTGTTTTTGGGAATAATGGGTGCAAACCTTCATACCACGCGTTCGCATTGACTTCGTTCGGTAGCTTATTAACTAAAGTATCGTACCAAACGCATAATTGACTTGTTAACTCTGAAACCATGAATATATTTGAACTTTACTGCTCGATAGGCCCAAAATGGGCGATTAGGCCGAAGTAGTTCTCTACCCTATTGATTTAAAATACAGTAGAAGTAACCTATGTTTTCGGTCCTAAGTACATTTTTTGGATTTCCTACTTAGTAAAACTTGGTTAATTTCAGGACCTCATAAAAATGAGAATACATATTCTATTTCATTTGGTTCCTAAATTACAATATGATATGAGTAAGGCTTTCTTAAAGTGATTCATTGAAGCGTCCAACAATGACCGTCATGATGGCTGATATTCCCTATCACTTCAATATATCTAGGACACAAATCATGGACGGTTGTGACATCACTCATGAAATTGAAACTCCTTGTGTACTGGACTGCAACAAACGTGAAGTTCCAGTTTCTTTGTTATAAGTTTTGTGAGAGCTGATATCTGTACTCTTGAAATTTTTCTATGGTAATGAGATTGATCCTCAGCGATTCAACTTCAAAACGCTAAAAATAAATGCACACACAAAAACGGAGTGCACAATTTTGCATCAATGTTATGCAACATTTCATAGTTGATCGAGATGATATCAATTAGCCATGAATCCCTCCAATAAGTTCTCGGTACATCTTTTATCTACCGATTGAACAAATAAAAAAATATTAAGGCTGTGTTCCATTTGGAACATTTTCACTTAGATTTGACACTTCGAAAATAAATTAAGATGTT